ATAGCTTTGGATGAATCAATTGATACTATTGACTCAGCACAGGTGTTATACTTCATCTGGATCATAACAGAAGATTTTCTTTGCTACAGAGAGTTACTGTTTTGGGTACTCTTGCAAATAGAACACAGAGAATAGATACCTTCAACAACTTCCAAGATAAATGTGATGTTGGTCTGAATTTGGTAAATTTAGTGAGTGTATGGACATACAGTGCACCTTCCATGACAAGAAAACATGAAGGATTTATCACACAGATAAAAAAAGTATTAACAGATCGACATGCTTTCATTTCTTTTCATTGTATCTTGCATCAGAAAATCTCTGTGCTAAAGCTACTATTTTAAATGACGCTTTGCAACAGGTTATAAGTATTGTTAACTATATTCTTGCAAATGCAACACCACATCTTCAGTTTCATAACATGCTAAAGTTGAACCATGAGGTACTCAGTGTGGATTTACCGTATCATTCTAAAGTGTGTTGGCTATCACAGGGACAGGTGTTAGCCAAAATTTTATCTCTGCGAGAACAGATAGTTAAGCTTTATGAAGAACAGAATCAGCAATGTGAATTATTATTATTATTATTTTTAAGCCAGTCAAATTTAGCAGTGGGGGGTTGAATACCAACTTTAGTGACACTAATGTTAATAAGTTCTGATAACCCACTACCATCGGACCAGCCAAGCAATGTGAATTATTGAAACAAGATTTGTATAGGAATGCAGCATTTTTGTGTGGTATCATGTCAAATCAAAACTACTTGAATATTTTTTTGCAAGGTAAAACTAAGTCTATACATGATATGCAGCAAAAAATCCAAGCATTTTGAAAAGAGCTATCTTTTTTCAAAACACTTCTTCAAAAGGAAATTTTGGATGAACATTTTCCCCAGTTAACAGGTCATTGATGAGCAGGATGATATATGCGAATCATTTGAAGAATATGCAGCTGTTACAGACCTATTAATTGGAGAATACAATGAAAGTTTCACTGACTTTGAGAATCATGACCTCACACTCAAACTAGCATTTCAGCCTCACCTAGTTGATATCACCAAGGCACCTGAAGAACTACAGATGGAACTGATTGAGCTCTCAGTAGATGACATTCGAAGTCATTGTTTTTTTTTTTTTTTTAATTGAGACAGAGTCTCACTCTGTTGCCCTGGGTAGCGTGCAGTGGCGTCATTGCAGCTCACTGCAACCTCCAACTTCTGGACTCAAGTGATCCTTCTGCCTCAGCCTCTTGAGTAGCTGGACTACAGGCACACACCACAATCCCTGCTGATTTTATTCTTTTTGGTAGAGACCGGGTCTCATCCTTGCTCAGGCTAGTCTCAAACTCCTGAGCTCAAGCAATCCTGCCACCTTGGCGTCCCAGAGTCCTAAGATTACAGGCATGAACCACCAGCCTGGCCTTAAAGTCATTGTTTGATGCTGAGAAAGATCCAGTTGAAATATGGAAAAATGCAGTAGAATATCCATGCCTTCGGCAACATGCCTGAAAAATGCTTTCTTGCTTTTCAACTGTTTATTACTGAGAAACTACATTCTCCTACCTAACCCAAATCAAGATGCCCTTAAGGACGCAAGTGACTGATACTCATCTAGAGGATCAACTGAAACTGCAGACCTCCATGCTGCAACCAAATGTTCAAATGCTTTCCAACAAAAAGCAGACACAACAAAGTCATTAAAAGGTTAGTTAACTTTAAAATTAACAAATAGTTTTCATTTTTTGAAAATTATTAAATACATAGTTGTTAGATTTTTACAAAATAATGTATGTTTTTAAGTATATCTAACTGAAGTTTCTTGAAGGCAGCCTTATTTGATTACTGCTAAATTAATGCAGTCTTTCAACATGAAAAGATTCCCCACCCCTGGCATAGACTTTTGGAACACATGGGTTCATATCGTCTACATAACTAGCTGTATGCCTTTATGAGGTTACTTAATCTCTCTACACTTGTCACATCTGTACAATGGAGACAATGCCCTCACTGGGTAAGGCCAAGGGCCAGTGGAGTGGTCTTGGCATGGCAGCAACAGCCAGCACAGTCACTGGTACTTGCGAGCCTCCTTTCCTCCATTAGGTCATTATCCTGCTCTGTCAAAGGTCACCAGTGTCCTCAGATACTCTTCAGGTATCATCCTATTTGACTTCTTTGACATCTGCTCTTTTGGCTTTTGTGATTTTCCCCATAACTCTCTGGCCATTGCTTCTAATCTTCTTTCTTATCTTTTCCCCTCTCCTCCTAGATCTTGGTGCTCCCATCTCTTCACAATTCGGATGATCTTCCCTATTCATCTCATCCTTTCTCACACCACCTTCAGGCTGATGACTACCAATCTATAGTCCTAGTCCAAACCTGTGTGTCATATGTCCAGTGGTTTTGGGGACATGTACACTTGGATGTCCCCAATACATTTCAAACTCAATGCATCTAAAATGGGAACATCTTTTTTCCCCTTGGGCATGTTTCTCCTCCTGAGTTTTTGTTTTTATTTTTTTTTTTTATTTCAGGGTATTATGAGGGTACAAACATTAAGGTTACACTTTATGTCTTTCCTCCTGTATTTTTGTTGGCTATCATGTACCCAGTCACCCAGTGTGAAACTTGGAAGTCATCCTACGTTGGCCCGTTTTCTCCTCTTGCAGATTGCATCAGCTGTGGAATCTGGTCACATCTCCCTTCTCAATGTGTTTTCAACCAGTTTCCTCCTCTCCGCCCTCTTCATCACACAGCGTGGCCTCGCTTTAGTCCACCCATCACTACCAAAGTCAGCTTTCTGGTGAGGAAGTCAGAATGTCAGTGGCCCCTCAGTACTGACAGTGCACAACTTAGGAAATTCTTAGTGTCCTTTCCTACTGGGCCGCTCTTGCAGTCCTCTGCCTCATCCCTGCAATCCCCCAGCAAGTCACCTACCTATTGACTGTTGGCACCACGCCCTTGTGCCTTCGCACATGCTTTTCCTGCTGCCTAGAAACAAAGCTCATGGATACTAGGTTCTCCGGTGGTAGCACGCTGTGTAGAATGTACCGCCTGGCTTTAAGCCATTTACATGAGTATTTTCTCCGCAAGACAGAGGTTTCCTCAGACCGGGAATCTTTTTCATCTTTGGTCCCAGAGCTACTATGGTGGGGGAGACATGGTGGGTGCACAAGGCATGGACTAAACTAACGGAAACAATTTCTTTATTCACAGTGGGCTCCCTGGCTCCGCCGCCGAGCTTTGGAGACCTGCTCCCTCGGGGCTCCCGGCCCTCCGCAGCGGCGCAGGTGAAGGGCGGCCGCGTGGCTGGCTGCCTGAGGGCTGGGCCGGGTGGCTGCCCGCGCGCCTGCGCCCTCGGCCGCTCCACTCCAGACGCGTCTCTGTGCGCGTGTGTCTGTTTGGAGAGAGGAGGAGGCTTGGATGACAGGCGAGGGGTAGGGGGAAGAGTTCAGCCTGAGTCACAGTCTCATTCACTGATTTCTCGGCGGCTGGACCGGGGCCGCCTCCCCAAGCGGCTCCCAACTACTCCCGTAGCTCCACAGTCCCACCTCCTGCCGCGCCACTCTCAGCCAGGCTGACTGACCGACAGACTCGCTAGTGAGTAGCGGCGGCTTGTGCGCCCGGGCAGCGCGGCGAGCTGCCGCCGGCGGTCTCGTCCTCCCACGGTTTGTGTGTGTGCGTGTGCGTGTGTGTGTGTGCGCGCGCAGGGGCTGTCCCTGGGATTCCACGCCTGCTCGAGAGCTCCCTGCCAGGATCCGTGTGTCCATCCGAGTCTGCGCTGCGGTGAGGGTGCTCGCCCAGGCAGGGGCTCGGACGCCCCCCGCGCGGGGAGGGAGTTTGCGGGGATTCCCTGGCTCTGCACGCAGCGGCTGGTGGGGTTCCCCGGGAAGGCGCCTGGGCAAGCGGGAGGCGGGGAAGCCCGGGCTTATAAGTGGCTGGCAGGCCGGGAATCTGGGGGCCGGTCTGGCCCAGCACAGCAGAGGGAGACGCCGGAGCTGCCACCCTTGCCCGCCCAGCCTCTCCGCCTTTCTCCCTTACCCTTGCTTCTTTCTTTTCTCAGCAGCATCACAAAGGCGCGTCGCAGAATGAAACCCGATGCAGCGAAACCCCGCTGTCTCCCACCTGGTGCATATCCCTCGTGGGCAGGAGGAGTGGAGTGGGGGTCCCCACAGTTAGGGGCCGGGGCTTACCCTGGGGGCACACCTGTTTTCGACTCTCTTTGAATTCAAGCTGGGTCCGGATGGCGAGAGCGGTTCCAACACGTACACCCCGGCGTGTGTGTGTGTGTGTGTGTGTGTGTGTGTGTGTGTGTGTGTGTGTGGCCGCGCATGCGCGCTCGCACCCCAGGCCCACGCTCACGGGGTGCGCTCAGTAAATAGCACACCTCCCCGGCGGCCCGCGTGTGCCGAGCCGGCTCCGTGGGCTGCTCGCGCGCGCTTTGCCAGCGTGCCGGCGTCTCTTTGTTTGGCTGTGGCTTCCCTAGCCCTCGGCGAAGCAAATTGATTTTCGGTTTCGCTTGATACTGCGCACTGGGACTTAGTGTGGGCCACAGCCTCGAATGCCCCTGGTATTTGTAATTGAATAGTTCTTTCGGGCAGGGGGCTATTTTTAGAGTTGGCAATAAAGAGGCAAGCACGTTGACCTTTTTGCTGCTGCCTTTGGCTTTGAATGCGTGTCTCTGCTGGAGCAGACAGATCCACATCTAGTCGCGCACACGTGCCAGCGCACTAGTGTGCACACACATTTCTACACACGTAGTCCCCTGCCCCCCTTTTCTTTTTTAAAAATTGGGACAGGGAATACACTGTGTGTCTGTAAAAAAACTTTCCTTTGTTCTTTTGGGCATTTTCTATTGTGAGTAATGAAGTAGGAGTACGAAAGGGTTGCAATTAGTTCACTCGAATAAAAGACGCTGCCTCTGAGTCAGAGCTGCCAGGTTGATAATTATTAACATATAAAAGCAAATGCACTGTTTAAGGCAAAAGGCGGGGCAAGTCCGCGGCAGACAATGAGCGCGAGTCTCTGCCGACCGCCTGCTGCTTATTGTTCCGGGACTGGAGACTGCAGCTGGCAGCTGCCGCCTCCTCCGGGGTTTAGCTTCTCGCTCGCTCCTCCGCCCGACTCAGGACCATCGGGGTCAGCTAGCGCTGACCCTCGGGGCTCCGGGATGCTAGCCCCAAGCTGCAGCCGCGCTTCGCTGACCGTCTTTTCTCTGCTTTGCAGGTTGCCTTCTTCACTCCCGAGGGTATCGCGAGCCCAGGTGGCGAGGACCCGGCGCCTCGGCGCGGCAAGGTGGGATGCGGTGTAGACAGCGCTAAGTGCCCCCACGCTGGGCGCCGGGCGCACTCGCTCCTGGCCGCGGGCCGAGCAGCGGCGTTGGAGGGGATGAGCCCGGGACGCGCAAGGCGCCTGCCGCGAGCTGCCGCCCGGAGGGAGACGCCTAGCAGGGCTCATCGCAGGACCGCGTGGACCCCTGCCCCCCGCAGCACGCGGCTGCGGAGTCTCGGGGTCGCATCTGTGGTTAGGATGCACTGGGCGCCTCCCCGCTGGTGAGGATGCCCTGCCGCGCGGCTCTGCTTCCCCAGCCCCGGTCCCAGGTGGGCACCACTGAGTGGGTCCGGCTTCGGCCCCTCGTGCAGGCGGATGAAAAGCGCCGGTGTTCTTGGGTGCGATCAGCAATCGAATCTGAAGTCTAAGAGCCATGGACGAAGGTACCGGACTACAGCCCCAGGCGGGAGAGCAGCTGGAGGCACGGGCCACAGCAGGAGCTGTCCAGGAGAAGTGCGAGCCCGAGACCTTGCGGTCTAAGAGTTTACCGGTCCTGAGCAGCGCCTCCTGCCGGCCGCCCCTCAGTCCTGCGCGCGCAGACGCCAAGCCGGCCTCGGGCTGTGCGGATTCTTTGGGCCACCAGGAGTTGAAGCAAGGCCCGAACCTGACGGCCTCCAGCCCCTCTGACCCGTCCACGTCGGCGGGGATGGCGGGGCTCGTGGACTGTAACCACAGGGTGGACGTCAGCAAAACCGTCTCGGTGTCCTCCACTCTGGCCACACTCCAGGAGAGAAGGTGCCTCTACGTGGTCCTCACGGATTCCCGATGCTTCCTGGTTTGCATGTGCTTTTTGACCTTCATCCAGGCGTTGATGGTCTCCGGGTACCTGAGCAGCGTCATCACCACCATTGAAAGGCGCTACAGTCTGAAGAGTTCCGAGTCGGGGCTGCTGGTCAGCTGCTTTGACATCGGGAACCTGGTGGTGGTGGTGTTCGTCAGCTACTTTGGCGGCCGGGGTCGGCGGCCCCTGTGGCTGGCCGTGGGCGGACTTTTCATCGCCTTCGGGGCTGCCCTCTTCGCCTTACCTCACTTCATCTCACCTCCCTACCAGATCCAAGAGTTGAACGCCTCGGCCCCAAACGACGGCCTGTGTCAGAACGGCAACTCCACGGCGCCTTTGGAGACTCCGGCCTGCCCGAAGGACTCAGGAGGAAACAGTCACTGGGTCTACGTGGCTTTATTCATTTGCGCGCAGATTCTCATTGGAATGGGCTCCACGCCTATTTATACCCTGGGACCAACCTACTTAGATGACAATGTCAAGAAAGAAAACGCATCCTTGTACCTAGGTAAGACTTTTCTGTTTTCTCATAGAAGTTTGACCCACGGTGAAACTTACTCTTCCTTTCAAAAATCAAAAGGAAATATTTTCTCTCATATTTTCATATATATTAAGCGTTAAGGTTCACTTTATTTTATGTTTTAGCCTTGCTGAGGTCAGTTTTTCGTTCGGGGGAGAATCAATTAGTTGAGAGTTTTTGGGACATTTTCACACTCATACTTCAGATTTGCCTTTTCCCAAGTAACACAAACTTTCAACTATGGGGCAGTGTCTCTATCTCTTGCTACCTACCTTTGGAAGAGCTCTCATTTATCTTCTAAAAGACGTGTTCAGGAAGGAATAGAAGTACCTAGTGTGTGAGGTTTTGAATTATTTACTGCTTTCATCTGCCGCTGCTTCTCATTCTTGTCCCCAACAGCAGGGATACTGGAGTAGCCAGACTTTATTGCCCTCATGCTTGTATTTCTTACATGTCACCTGCATCACTATTTAAAAAAAACGACAAAAACTTGAATGATACCAAATGACTGGGTTATCTTTATGCAGGCGCAGCACCACAAGTTGTAAGGTTTATCCAAAGCTATTTTTCTTTATTTGATTGCTGGTTGAAGACCCTCAGTTACATGAACTTGGGAGAAGAATCCATTACTATTTTCTGAAAAGCAATGGCTCTGGGATTTGGTGTGTTGTCTTGCCTAAAAGAGCACCAGTGGACAGAGGTGCTTGAGTTAAGTACACGGTGTGAAGGCCAGGCAGCCGCTGCGGCAGGTAGGATAGATTTACTTCCTAGAAATCTGTGGTCGTCAGCACCTCCCTGCAGTCTCTGCGCCTTCAAAGCTGAACTTCTAAGGGATGGATTTGAACCCATGAAAAGGCTAAACAGCTGTCATACTGTATGAGATCTTTCTTTTTCTGTTTTTCTAAAGTCCAACTAAAACAAGATAAAGGATTTTAATTTATTAAAAAAATTAAAATGGTAAATAATCAAATACTAGCTACGCTTAGTGATTTATTAGCCATGTGCTGATAGGGTCTTTGGTTTGGGAATAATAGAGTTTTTAAAGGGCATTGAAAATGATGTCCAATTTTAGAGGGCTATCCTTTGTCCTCAGTGCAGTTATTGTCCCCAAAAGCTGTTACAGAGGGGTGTTTAAGTTCCTAGTAACTGGCCCAATGCATCAAGACAAGAGTTTTATAACTTATTTTTACTATTAAATGCAAGAGAAAGAAATTTCAATTCTGGGTAGAGAATAGCTTGATTATCATCTTGCCTCCATATTTTTAAACATTTATTATGACAAATTTAAAAATATACAGAAAAGTTGAAACAATAGTATTATGAATACCAGTATACCCCCACCTAGATTCAATAATTGTTCATTTTGTCATGTTTGCTTTATCAACTTGTGTGTATGTGTGTATAGAAATATATTTTTGTGGGTGGGGGGGACTAAGCCCTTTGAGAGTAATTGCAGACACCACTAGGCTTCAACGCGTATCTTCTAAAAATATGGGCACTCTTTTACATAACTGGAGGAACATTAACATCCCAAGAGAGTTAATAATCATTCCCTAATATCCTTAAATATCCAGACCATATTCATATTTCCTCAATTGTCCCCTGAAGTCTTTTATAATTATTATTTTTTAAACCAAGAGCCAGTCAAAATTCACTCATACATTGCATTTGGCTGTTAGCCCTTTCAGCCCTTTATAATCTACAGCAGTGCCTTAACTTTTTTCTTTTTTCATGACATAGACTTTTTGAAAGGACAGGCTAGTTGATTTGTAGAATGTTCCACATTCTAGATTTATCTGATTATTTCCTTGTAGTGTGACTTACCTTTTTCCTCCTTTCCTTCTGTTTCTGGTACACTGGAAGTTCAGTCTAAAGGCTTGATTAAATTTAGACAAACATTTTTGGTGGGTGTATGTCATAGATGATGCTGTATGTTTTACATTACATGCATCTGAACATTCAGTAGTGATGTTAAGTTTAATCACTTGGGTGAGTGGGTGATTGCCAGTTCTTTTCATTGTAAAGGTGCATTTCTCCCTTTGAAAATAGTAAGTAATCTATAAAGTTGATACTTTGACTCTGTGTAAATATCCCAATTATTTTTCATATTTTTGCTGATCTTTGACTTTATACACTTTGAAATCCTGGATCTCCCTTCCATCCCAATTCTGGGTGCTATTGACACAAACTTGCTTCCTCAAAATCACAGTCAGAACCCAATGCAAAGGGGGAACATCTACTAATAAGAGCCCTCACATTGAACTCTTCTGGTAGTGGTTGCCTACCAAGAAGGAAAATAGCAGTGCATATTAGATACATATTCTGTGCTAGGCACTGTGCTAGTTTTGGGAAGACTAAAAACGAGACATTGCCCCAGCATCTGAGGAGCTTTTGGTGTAATGACAAAATATTGCCAATTCAAGGTAGGGGTGTCAAGTGACATGCGGATGAGAAGGAAAGTAATAGAAATGGTATTTGCTTTCTTTTCTTCTTTTCTTTCTTATGATGTTGACTAAATTGTGTTTTTCTTGAAAAAATTTTGATAAATGCCTTAGGATACATTCTTTAGGGAACCTCTGAGCATTCTGCATCTTACTGAATGGATCTCAGTAACAGCTACAGTGGTTTGAGTACCAGGAATCATACATCTATTATTTCATTTAATGTTCTCAATAGCCTTATGAGATGGAAATTGTTTCCCCTATTTTATTGATGAGGAAACTGAGGCTCAAAGAGTTTAAGTGACTTGTTTAAGGGCCTCAACCCCATGCCTTTCTGTCCCAGAACCCTTAAGCTTCTGTCTACACTGCGTGGCTCTTTGGCAAGAGGCCCTGAGAGACAACTGAAAACTAAGGATGTGCCACGTTCAGCAGAGTTTTGGAATGGTGCAGAAGAATACAGACCTGGTTTGAAGTGAGCAAACATGATCAAAATAAGATTATTCTCTAAATCTTTTTTAAAGTAGGTTTTATAGACTACCTGTATACACATTAAAACCAGAGACTACTATATTCTTAGAACATGAGCAGTGTTAACCAATTATGATGTAGATTTTTTTCCTAATAAATAACTGGTTAAAATATCTTTGTTATTTTTCACAAAACTATTCTTTATATTACCTTTTCCACCACCCATTCCTTTCTTAACCTTCCTGTCAGTCTTTCTAACTTCTCATTACAACCACAGAAGAAAGAAAAAATCAGGTAGCAGATTAGTGATTGTAGGCAGGAACAAATATCTGAAGTAATGTTAAAACCATTGAAATAGAATGTAATTGTATATCTTAATCTTTTGAAAGTTCCATGCTAACGTTCTGGCACCTTTAACTGCAGAAGAGATGTGGTCATAGGTGAGATATAGTAGTGTTTATAGCCACTAAATGCCGTAACTTCTGCAAGGAGAGAAGATAAGTGTTGACCTGGAGCATAGAGAAATTAGGTGTTAATAAGGAGTAAGGTTAACAACTAGACCATGGTTTGTAATTATATCAAGGAGAGAGAGAGAAAATGTGATCCTTTGGGGGTAAGAAATTCATTATTCAACAGGAAAAGGAGAAAGAATGGTTAACCATGGGGGAAAAGGAAAAAAAGGATGCATTTCTAGAATACAGAGCCACAACCCCGACTGGGTAACATTCAGGATAAGTAATGATTGGCATGGGTGTGCCGTCAGTCAAGCAGTGTGGGTGCTGTTAACTGTCAGCCCTGACTTCACACCACAGGGAAGGGCTGGTATTGGCCCAGTACCTTAGAAAGAGCACCGGACAGGGAGGCAGAAAATCTTTATTTTAGTCCCACTCTACCAGTGACTGGTTGTGCGTGGGGATTTAGTAAAACCCCTTCACTTCTCCCAGCCTCTATTTCCAGTTTGGATTATTACATTTTTTTCCCTCACTGTAATATTTTGAAGACCAAGTGGGATTCCATGTGTGCGAGTGTTCTGTAAACTGCAAGGGGTGGCATTTTGCTCTGTCAAAGCAGAATTCAAACTCATCCCAGAGAGTGAGCAGAGAGAAAAGTGAGAGATTTTGCTCTTTCTCAGCATGAAAATGCTTAAATGTATCTTTTTTTCATAATTGAAAAGAAGGAAAGAAACATTTTGTAGGAAATTCAAACATCATATAGGAAATCACTCGTTGGATGAAACTACAGGAAACTAGTACAGGAAAATCTTGATCAGTGTTTCAGCAATGTTATAACCTGATTAATTGAATTTTCTGAGGACCTAAGGTTTTATCACAAGAACTTTCTGCATGCCAACCCTTGGTGACCATCTTTCTGTAATGCATGAACATTTCAGTAATGTACATTTGCACCTCCTGTAACATAGCAAAAGATCTTTTGAAGTTTGAGGGGCTTGTGGTGTCTAGTTTCACCACGGTGGGTCTTCCTTTGCCCACATGGACTATGGCAGGATGTTTGGTGAACCAGGAGCAGTCCCAGGACGTACTCAGAAGTAATTATTATTGTTTTTAAAATAAATCCCTCTTGGCTGCTTCTTTTTTTTTTTAAAAAAAAAAAATTTCCTTAGTCTTTAAAAAGTATCGTGAGTTTGAAATTAGAGTGATATTTCATCAAGATTTTGTAGTAATATAAACATTATATATGTGCAACTGTATATTTCTATACATACATGGTTTTATATATGTATATATATTATTTTGCTCTTTCCGAGATATTTTTCTCTGAGTATTGAAATCCTTAAACTATTTTTTTTATAATTGGAAAAAAGGAAAAAAGTCAGTCTTTAGAAATATTGTACAGAAAAATCTTGATCAGCATTTTAGCAGTGTTAGAGCAATCTATGTATCTATATACTTTAGATGTATATCTGTGTGATTTTATTTATAGTCATATAAACAATGAATGATGCACATATATATCTTTCAGTCTAGTGTTCTCTGGAACCATATAACCAAGTGTAGCCGTGGGTTTGACAAGTAAGGGGCTTCTTTATCTGGAGTAACAGGCTGGCTGGAGTAGCCGTCA